TATATATATATATATATATATATATATACTAGTGGATTAATCAATATTTGCAGTAGAAGAACTGTTGACCTCTTCTGCAGATATTTAATGATCGGACAATTGTAATCAATATAAATCAGATGAAGAGGGCTCATACAACTGAGTAGCAAAAATTCACTAACTCAGGATTTTTTTTATTATTTCAACAAATATGTATATTTTGATTTGCTTTTGCGTGAAAATGCACCAGTAAAACTCTCATTTGTTTGTTTTCCACTCTTGTATACATTTTGAAACTGATAAACAGGGGGTGATGATGTATGAGCATTACGCGACAAAAAGCAATGCAAAATTTTAAATAAATAAACTGATCAGAGTGTTAATAATCTAGAAATTATTAATCAGTAAGGGGCATGACCCAGGGCTGGAGATAAGAATTCTGCTGTTGATCGACTTGTAATTATACTCATTCACGAAAGTGAAATGAGCAATGTCCGTCTTGTACGCCCATCTGTTCGTATGAGCGCAATTTTTTCGGCGCAATTGAAACTAGAGACTTGAAATTCAGAAAACATCGTGTTCCGATTTTTAAAGTGTTAAAATTTTCCCGAATGTGAATGAGTATTCCACAGTCGGTAACGCCCGACTGCAACGTTCTTACTTGTTTTATTTGTGTTCAATTCATATTTATGTAAACTAAAAGAAAAAATGTTTCCAACCATTCTAACCCTTGGCATAGTTATGATTTTATTGAAGATTTTTTGTGGAAGCAATACCACTTCAACTTCAACAGTCAAGTCAGTGTAGATGCAACGCCACGCCCACGTCTTGTCGGAGTGTGGTGTTAAACAACAAAAATGACAACAGATCGTTTTCTGCTCTGATCGTTTTCTGCTCTGATGTGGGATGTAAATAGGGAATGTAATAGTGTTAAATGCATTTCTCAGCAACGAATACGTAAATATTTTGTTTTCATATGACTATAAACAATAAATATTTATGTCGTGTTGCGATGGACTGAAGCTTCACGAAGAGAAGTTTGGCAGATGTTTGGTGTTTAAACTGCCAGCCTTGATGTATTAGGCCCAACGTATATCCAATATGTCTGCAACTGTTGTTTGTTTACAATTCTGAAGTCCTCCACAAATTGTTCTTTTAGAGTTTGTTGTCGGAGTGCGCCGTCGACGATCAGCATTGGCCCAAGGAACTAATACTGTTGCGAGAGAAGTTTACGGCCAAGAGTCAATTGGAAATAACCCAGCTGAATATAAAACATGCCGAAGAGGTGAGCTACTGAAATTCGCAATTTACGCCTTATCTCTTACACCTGTACTCCTACTAGATGTCGCGAATGAAACTGGAATATGAGAAACAGCTCAACCGCAAGAACAAGCGGCATTTGACGTTTGACTCGGGCCGTGATTTGCAGCACATAATAACCGAGCGAGATGGGTTACGGCAACTATCGAAGAGTTTCCGTAGCGTTCTCTGCCGGTTGGCCAAGTGTGTGGCCAATTGCGAGGGTGACCTCAACGCCACTCTGTCGGAGGAGATGCAGCGCTTGCTGACGCAAAGTCGAAATCAAGATGGTAGTGAGGATGTTGAGCACACTTTGAGTAGCTCCTTGCTGCAGGGGTCGTTCAACAATTCGAAACACCTGCGCCTGGTCCCTGACGTGCACAGTCTCCTAGAAGTGGTGGAGGATCCCAGTCTCGTGCAGTTTATCGACAGCAAAAATCCCGACGATCAAAACGATTACTTTGATCTGGGCGACTGCCTAGAGCGCCTGAAAGCAGAAGCCGCTTATCTGCTGCAACTATCTGAGGATCTTGAGAGGCAGCGTGCCATTCATTCCGTGGAAAGGCAGGATGAGCCAGAGAAACAGGAGCATGAGTTGTGCTGTGAAGCGGAGGATGGCTTAAAGACAACAGCTCCATTGCCATCAACTCAACAACAGTTGCTCCACGAACTGGTCCGCACCAACTCCCTGAACGATCAACACCTCGGCGTGGCTCATGAGCGTAGGACCAGCAATGGTACGCTGATGACCAAACCGCATAGCTCGCTGCCGATCGATTTGCAACAGCAGTCGGGAAACGCCTCGGAGCTCAGCTTTCAACTTGTAGAGTTAAAGAATCGATTGATCAAATCGGAAGCAGACCGACAGAATCTGCAGCAACAGCTGACGCATACCATCGATCGCAATGCGGAGCTGGGCCAGGAGCTACAGGCATTGCGTGATCAATTGTCGCAGTTGAACTCTTTGAACCAGACAGATTATGCCGAAGGTTACGGCCTTGGTGACATGAAGGGTCCACAGACTATGGATCAGTCGTCCGCCAGCTTTGTACAGCTCCAGGAGAGGGCTCGTCATTTACTGACCTCGCCCACGCAACAGCAATCCCAAGAGCCGGGCAACGCAACGGTTGTATTACTTCAGATGATAGAAGACTTCTGCCGCGAGGGAGATAAGGTGGTAGAATCAGGAAAAAAGGATCGCGAGGATCTTCAGTCGCAGGTAAGCTACTCATTAGATAATATACCACATATGCCACAAAAACAAGAGATAACAAGTCAAGTGTCTAACGCATGATCAGTAGATTATCCGCTGAGCGCGCCTAGTTGTAAGCCAAGTATAAGTTTAGGTTATATTACCTTCTATCCATGCTATATCACAACCATAGATCGATACCGCCGACAAGCAGCTGAAGGCGACGCGCCAGTTCCTGGAAGAGCAGGCCGCCGAACGCGAGCAGGAACGCGATGAATTTCATCGTGAAATCGAACGGTTAAGAGCGCAGCTACGTGCAAAGGAAAAGGAACGCAGCTCTTTTGCCAATGCCTCTGAGGAGGTGAGTGCCCTTTCCTGTCAAGGGTCTTTGCGTCATATATACAGTTTTAGATGTATATATATATATATAATGACTTTGATTTGGAATTGGTTGTGTTAAAATTTTTTATTAATTGTTTGGTTTTTGCTAATGGGTTTCATCTTTTATTTCTGGACTATCCGCTGATTATACTTTTATGATTTTGTAATTTCCGATTCTCTTCTACAATAGCCCAGGTGTCCTTACTATATTGCACTGGCTCTTAAATCAAAACTTTGAGCAACATTATTTTTATTACTATTCAAAGATGTGCACACAAACTACTTGAAGTCCTTGAGTTGTTTTATTAAAGTTGTTATAAACGTTGAACTGCTTCCGATGATTTCGATGCCAAATTATTTTGCTTGCCTTATTAAAAACTCAGTATAATCATAAGCATTCGGCCACCCCCTGGTGTCACTTTGTTTGTTTTTAATATCGAAGTCAAGGGCAGCAAGATTGTCTGCTTTATGTACTCATCCACACATAAGTATATACATATGTATTTATATGTATATATATATATATATATATACATACATATGTTTCGTAAGCATGTGCCGATGTATTTATAGATTACTACAGAAAACAATAATTTTCTTACAAAATGCTTTACATTAAATATTTCTTGGAAACACACTAATAATGAATTCCTGATTCCTCATTGAAACTCTTAGCATGCACTCACATTAATAACAACAATCTAATATACTTATTTCCAATGTACCTAAAAATACCTTTGCACCTGAAACTCAACTGCACCCCGAAAACAATTTAAGGACATGCATGTAAGTTGTTAACTAACTGTAACACTGTAAGAAAAGTTCCACGCACCACACTTCGAACAGAAATTACTTTGAATTAGATCTGAAAACTAATGGAATGTCTGTGTGATCCGTTTAATAGTACGCTATTCTGGAGACACAACTGCGCGAGGCGAACCAGCAGCTGAGCGACTCCAATGACAAACGGGATAAAATGGAATCGGAGCTGAAGGCATCCATAGACAAGATCTTTGTGCTGCGCGAGATAATTTCGGAGCTGGAAACACAGGTGCAGACCAAGGCGCTCAATGAGCAGGTGCTGGACGAGAAGGTCAAGCAGCTGGAAGACTATATACAAATTCAATTGCGCTCCAATGATGCGCTCACACAGGAGGTGCACAGCCTAAAGACGGACATAGGCGAAACCTATCAGACGCGCATACGCCAGCTAGAGGACAAGCTCCAGCAGGGATTGCCCTCAGCCGAAACTGCTGTGGTACTGAAACAGGTGGCCGACCAACTGCTTCTGATTGAAACAACTCTGGAGCAGAAAACAAAGACGCTCGAGTCACTTCACAACTCCAACACAACCTCCAACTCGTGCAGTCTTAGTGCCACAGAGGATGTCTCCGCCCACGGTGCCAACAGGCAGGCAGCTGAAGGGTCGCCCGAACACTCGTTGACGGTGGAGGGAGTGCAGCGCGTGCTCGAGAAACTGGAGAAGCATACGCGTGTGGAGGAGGCTGCAATCAAGCGTATACGCGATTTGGAAATGCAAGTCACCCAAATGCGTAGTGGCTGTGTGGTGAGTAGAGATAAATTATTCTAGAGCTTTCGTGGTGAATATCCGGATATTGGTTATTGTCTTCGCTCAAGATCAATAAAAATATTTACCCACAGTGCAATTCTTTTCAAACAAATTGTTTGAGGCTGTGATGAATGTGCTTTTGTATATGATTACAAACTAATTATAATATGAAAAATCTTTCCGTTTCTGATGCCGTGTGCTCTAATTGGGATTTATGAGTACTCTGCAGCAGGTTTTAGTGTACCTCAACTTA